TAAGGGGCTCCTCTGTTTTTTACTGAAAAACGGCTCTTCCAAGAAAACGTTTGGCAGGGCTCCTCTGGAGGAGCCAGAGCCGGAGCCGGAGAGGAGCCCTGCCAAACAGGTCCTAAAACATGGAAGGTGAGAGAGCTTACCTTAGACATATCCTACATGACGATTCGTCCCGTGTAAGGAAACATGTTAGTCTTACATACTGTACAAAACAAAAACTGTGACAGATATTTAATTTTGGCAACCCACAAATAGCTGCATGACTGCAAAAAGAAAAAGTTAAATAGCTGCAGTTAAACAACAAGGGTCATGGGCCACTCTTTTAGCTGTAAGATATTTATGAGACAAAGAAAACTCCTGTTATAATAACTTTGGTGTTTCAAAGATGGCCATCGTCCACAATGACCGTGATCCAGTAAGGTCACATTAAGAATTCTCACAGGATCCAATCTAGAAGAACCAGCTGCAAGTTCATCAGCATCTGAATCATCACACTTGACTACTTGAGATAGCACCTAGATCTTTGTGTGAAGCCCAGGAACGAAATTATTCATAAAAAGTGTGCAAGATGACGTAACCTAGCTGAGCCAAATATGAACACAGAAATATTCAAGGTCATTCAAAATGGCAAGCACCACTCTGATCAGTGCATGGCAAGAACTTAATATATGACAGGGACACATCACCACCATTTTTGTTTGATGTGAAAAATTGGAGAATGAAAAACAATAGCTACCTCGTGACTTTCTCTTGTTGGTCAGTTCTTACAAACCATGACTTTCTCTGGTTAGTCAATATCTCCTGAAATCATCACCTCTCATTTCCTTTCTCTGGTTGGTCAATATCTCCTGAATCATCACCTTTCATTTCCTTTCTCTGGTTGGTCAGTTCTTAAAAACAGTTATTCTTATCATGTTTGTATCTCAAAAAAATCCACATAATAAATCTGAAATCCAATAGTGAGGGGAGGCCGAAGAGCCTTCGAGGGATTCGATGGCGGGAGTGAAGTGCGGCGGATTCGGCGGCTGGGTGAGGGGAGCAGAAGAGCCGTGGGGGATTTGGGGAGCAGAGGCCGTGCGGAGTAGTGGGAAGTGGGTGACCGGGTGGGAAGGCGTTCGACCAAGTGGGGTGCCAGAGTGCAAAATGGTTGGACCATGGACACACTACATACTTTTTAAGTAAGAGAGAAGAGAGATCAGAGATGTTGAAAGTGTTAAGGATATCCTACTGGAGTGAGTGCATCACTTTACTGTTGTAATTTCATAATTTTCAAAGTGAAGTTTGTCAATCTTGGACTTTTTTATGGGTTTGGGATTTTTCTTTGGTGTATTTTTTATGAAAAACAATTTGTTTCCATTCTATTCACAACAACATATAAACTTGTCTGCCACCTGTGGTCAATTTCCCTGATGCTACAGCTGTTGGTGATGGTATTGATTAATGTTCAATCCCTTGCATAGTATTTCATATAGTTGTAGGTTTCTCATCTCCGAACCTACACAAGTGCTGACAAATATCCTGATCGTATCATGAAAAGTAACTAAAAGCTGTTGCATTGGAGCTTGAAATTGAGATGATAATATCAGCAAGCATGCAACATGTTTTCACATGAGTTCTTAATTTTAGAAGTGTGTAGCTTTTCTTTTCTTTACATTCTGTAAAGAATGAAAAAATGTCTCCACTGCTTGTAATTTTCTGTGTTGCTTGTTTTAGCCACATGCTCTTACCTCATTTTTCATTCTCCATGTGGAACATTGATATTATGCCTTGTAAAACCATAGAATATTGAGATCATATTGCATCAATCACTGCTTATCAGAATTTTAACAGAATCAAATTTATTTATCCAGCCTTTCCCACCTTCTGGGTCTGGAATTGCAGATATGGATCCGCGTCAGAATTTGAAGAGTTTTAATTTTGTGCGTCAAGATATTCGTGCTAACGCACAGGTCAACTTCAACAACACAGATAATGGTGCGGCGATGTAAGTAGGCAAATGTAATTTTAATTCAACGTACACATGTATTTGTCTATTCCATTATTTGCTGATTACTCATTTCCGCTTCATTCTGGCTTGACATAAAGGTCCAGGACAGCAACTGGAGAGAAACCTTTCAGCTCGAGGGAGGGCTTCCCATTCAGCTCTTCGCGTGCCTTTACTAAGGACCATGAACAATATTCTAAGAAGAAGAGAGATTTTGTCCATGTATTGCTGAAGAGAAAAAAGACCTTTGTGACCGTGACAGACTCTAGCGGGAATAAAAAGACAGGGGCCTCCGCTGGTTGTTTGGAGGACAGGAAAGGGCGATCCCGTCTCTCTCGGTATGCTTCTGAAGCAGTCGCGGAGCATGTCGGACGATCCGCCAGAAAGATGGGTTTAAGCTCTGTTGTCATGAAAGTGAAAGGGGCTTCTTTCTTCAAGAAGAAGAAGAAAGTGATCTTGAGCTTCAGAGAAGGTTTCCGAGGCGAAAGAGTGAGAGATCGATCTCCTATCATGTACATCCACGATGTGACCCAACTTCCGCATAATGGATGCCGACTCCGCAAGCAACGCCGGGTGTAGTTTCTGAGTGAACTGGAATTAGAGTTAGAGTTTAAAGAAAGAAGTGGGAAGTATGGAAGGTGATACCGAAACTTACTGTAATCGGTTTGCTGTTGGCCTAGTTGACTTAATAATATGGACATGTATTGTGTCTCTTGGATCCGTGCGACTTGAGTCGGTAGTGATTTTTGGGCAAATCCACCCTGGTTTTTGTATGACATTAATTTACTCGCTCAATGAGTTCATAGACAATTCTGCAAGTTTTGTATTGGCGTAATATGCTGTTAAGTTGTGAAATGTCTGCCGCGGTATGATATGAGGCCTTGAATTGAGTGCCGGGGATGGCCCTCTCAAGCTTTGATCTAATTCTTGACGCCTGATGACCTGAACATGTTCATATCTCTTTCCTTTTTTCAAAGAGGCCATGTTTGTCTTTCCTGTTCTTGCCATGTTCTTGACAGTAGAAGCTCGCCTGATGACAGTCTCCCGGACCATAAGCAGTTCCTGGTACTGTTACTGGAGATGGCAGCAGGCCTTGGCGCTCACGGAAAGGGTGGCGGTGCCTTGGCGCTCACGGAAAGGGTGAGGTTCCAGAGTGATGATAAAACAGAAGTAATTAGTCAGGAAAAGCGAATAGAATAGGCCTACTGGGCTGACAAAAGTACCTCGTGGCCCATAAGTTAGTACGAAAGCCCATAAGTGAGTACGAAAGAGAAACCCATCCATGACCGACAGGAAGGTTCTCTTCTCTGCTACGGGAATGGGAATGGGAATGGGATCAGTGCTACAGGAGTATGGACTCTGGACACGCCACAACTGCGTGGACTTCTTTATTTATTGCAACATGAAGTTCAGGTCCCTTGCCGAGAGACTCGAGAGAGAAGAGTGATGTGCATGTGCTGGCTTGCAACACGGCAATGGGCGTTGGTGGCTCAGCGGAGTTACGTTGTACTGTATGGCTTCGTTGTTTTTCCCCTGGGTATAGCGCTTTCAGGGCTATACTTTTGTTGTATCTTTTTTGTGCTATATATCAGTAGATTGTTTGGTATCATTCATTAAACATATTAAGCAACTATACTAGTTTTTTTTAACCTCAAAATAACTTGTAGGCTCGATCGACACGCCATCAGTTCGTTTTTTTTTTCCTGAACAAATGTCGGCACTTACTTGTATGCAATGAAATGGCAGCTTTAACCACAGTTCACTACTTAGGAGCAAGAGCAACCTCGTCTTGCTCTGCCTTGCACTGATAAAGGTTCAACTCTGAATGGCACCAATGGCAGCAAAAGGAAATGGACAAATGGTCGATCAGCCAGTGCAGACGTGCAATAGTCAAACGTGTCTGGAAACACCGTGTGCAGAGTGTTCAGCTCCGCCACCGAACGTCTCGGGGGTTGGAAACGTATCGTATCGTGGATTATTTACTGCTGGCTGGTTTGGTGTGAGAGAAAAACACTGTTCCTGGCTGGAAATTTACGATCGTTTACGAGCAAGCGAACAGGCTGATTAGCAATGGCTGCTCGACTGCACGATTGGCAGCACAGTGCTGGAGGCATCATACGCCGGAGCTCGGACAGTCGTCCTGCCAAATTATCTAGAGACAACGGAAGCGTCACATTCCCATGTCACCATCAGTAGGAAGACATTCAGCATCTGATGATTCACCCAGCGTCCAACGAGGATTGGGATCCTGGTCTCAATCTCAAGCGCACGTACGAATACAATATAGTATAGCCGTCTATGTAGGACCGAGACAATAGTCCTTAACAAAGATAGCTCTCTCTACCTGCAACTTCTGAAGATCCAATGCATTGACTACAACATTGTATTTTGTATGCTTACATTATCTACCATCGACATAACTTACGTATGAACAAACCACTCAGTTGCAATTGTGGCACCCACACCGAGCCCTGTTGCTCTTGCTGACAGGAGGACCAAAAGTTCCTTAACGACTTGTGAAGCTCCCAATGAATCAAAGTGCATAGATACTTTAAAAAATTTCGAGCAGATATACATGCGGATTGTTTACCAGGTGCAGTGAGTCAGAAAACAAAGCACAGCTTAAACAAAACATTGTCAAGATTCATGGGCCACTGAAGAAGATTAACAAAAGAAATGATAGTAACTTTTACCTGAAAATAACTTCTAAACCCAATCAGGCACTTGTGACATTTGCCATGCACAGAAGATGCACATACAGTGGAGCTGTGAATGGAAAGCTTGAACCTGAATTCTGCAAAAGGTCCCTGCTCAGGCAGAATTCTCAAAGAACACAGAAATACAGACGTTGCTTCTCACACTGGAACAGCAACTTCAGCTTTGCTACGAAGGGAAACCAGACCGGTCAATCAGGTGCCGTGCACAGTAACAAGCAGCATTCTCAACCAAGTCAATTATGTGAACATACAGCATTATCAAGTGTACAAATGCAAAGATGATGTTACCAGATGAATAAATCCTAAAGAAGCTGGGCTACATTCTCAGGAGTCAGGACCAACACAGCAAAGCAGACAATGCCATCCAAATTCTCACTAAAGGAAAAAAAAAAGAGAGCTGATGAACCCAGGACATAAGGATTTAGGAGATCCTACAACAACCAAGCAGCCTTTTCTCATTATTAGAAATGTGCTCAAGTTAAAAGGATATCCAAAGCTTCAATTCTGTATTAAATGCATTTGGCAAAGAAAGTGTGTTTTTTTCTCAAGCAAGCATTGCCGGGACTTCCTACTCACTTGTGTAAAGGCCGTAACAGCTTCATAAATGGCTATTGAACATGGTACCTTCACCATATAGAGAAAAATAGATCAAACAACAATGATGTACAGGACAAGCCAGCAAATGGTAAAATTACTATCATTATGAGCAAGAATGGAATGCACCAACTTTCTTATATGTCGAAAATTGCAGCAAACCGTGAACCATAAGTGATACTCCAAGACACAGAAAATATATTAATAACTCCAAAAGAAGACATTTGTGCAGATTACAATTGCAAAAATACAAGATGCATATAGGTTGCATGATAACCAGACAGATTTTAAATATAAAGTAGAATTTTCACAGACCACGTTCCTTATATACCACTACAAGTACTGTACCATCTCTTTCAGGAGTAGAATGCATACTCTAGCAGTCTAGCAGAGTAGAATCAGAGTTGTCTCTCCTGTTGCTGCAACTAAGCAACATGGTTTTCATCAGTAAATCCAGAAAGCGATCATCCAGGAGAAATTTGAATGAGAGAGGAAAAAAAAATCTCCACAGAAATTACCATTCCATTTAATCAACAGCTCACTTGGAGAAATTTGAATGAGAGAAACGGGAACATTTCATAGATTAGAACCATGTACAATACCATGACAACTTCTCATCACCTAAGGATATTACCCAATCCTACCAGAACCATACCCCAAACTCAACATCAGACAAGGAAGCACAAGCATGACCCAGCGGCCCCATAATTAATTTATCATATAACAGGACTCCCTGTACAGAATTAGCACTGGAAATCTAACATTCCGCCTTCTAATCCGCAGGAACAAGAAGAACCACGGGATGGCGATGTTAGCCATCGCACCGAGAAAGTTAAAGCTGGAAACATCTGAAAAGCTCCTCCAATCTGCAGCAGCAGCAACAACACGGGGCCGATCACCTCTGCTGCAGGACGAGAAAGACAGGCACATGAAGAAAAGAACCAACTTTGTGGGGGGGAAGGGAAGGGAAAAGAAGTAGGAGAGCACCAACGGATACCAAAAAACGATTTCTTACCTCGTCGATCTTGTACGAGTCCAGATTGACGTCGGCGAGAGACAGCCCCGGGTACAGCATCTGCAATCGATCAATAGCAGCCAAACCAGACAGGATTGAGCAACGGGGACCGAAAATTCGCGCAGCAGACCAGAACGTGATAGAGGCGGTAGAAGAAATCCTTACGTCGAGCAGGCGCTGCACGGCGCGCGGGCGCTTCTTGGGCCGGCGCGGCGGGCGGGTGCCGCGGATGGCGGCGAAGTCCTCGGCAATCTCGTCCCTGGTGAGCGCGGCGGAGAAGGCCCTCTTCCTGGGCACGGCCGCCGCCGGCGGCGGCGACGCGAGAGGCGGCTGCTGCTGCGCCTGCCCTCCCGCCGCCGGCGCCTTCCCCGCGGCGTCCGATCTCGATGCGAGCGGCGCGACGGTGGCGGAGCGGCGGGTGCGGAGGTTCCAGGGGCGCGGGGGCTGCGACGCGGACGCGGCGCCGGGGGAGGAGCCCTGCGGGTGCTGGTGCGGGTGCTTCTCCTTGTCCGGCGACGGCGTGTGCGGGTGCAGCGGCGGGGACGCCGGGCCGCCGGCGCCGTCCTTGGAGCAGCGGAGGAGGCGGTGCGCGCCCCAGCTGAGCGTCGGGAAGGCGAAGTCGTGGAGGCGGGTGCGATTGGCGGGAGCCGGCGTCGGGGTCGGGGACGGGGACGCCGCGGCGGGGGAAGCAGGCTTGGCCGTGGCGTGGTGGTGGTGGTGGTCGGAGGCGCCGGCCATGAGGACCATGAGAGAGGAGGAAGGAGAGGGCGAGAAGCGGGTGCAGGCAGGGGCGACGCGAGCGAGACAGGGAGGAGAAGGGGGGGTGAGGTTTTCAAAAAGGCAGAACGCGAGAGAGGAGTCGCCGAGGCCGCGAGCCCCCTGCTGTTCTGTTGTGTTCACCGCGCCCGCCTGGTCCGGGACGGCGCGGTCGCGCGGAGCCTCCGATCGCCGATGGATGGATGGATGCGGCGGATGGAGATGGGCGGTGGGGCGGTTTCTGGTGCTCCATCCCGCGGCTTGGCTGCTGGCGTGGCAGCGTCCGTGACCGCGACCGCGTCGCCTGCCCTGCCACTGCCACGAAATCGGCAACGAGGGCACCGCCAGGTCGGTCTGTTTGGCATTGGCCGCGGCGCCGGCAGTGCCCTTTTCCCTGCCCGTGCTTCAGGGCCAGAGCCCAGACCCCAGATGGCCTATTCTTTGATGAGTCTGTCGATCGATTCAGGGTACTTTGCATATCTTAGACTCTTGGTGCTAAACTTGCAACGTCAACATTATTGCGTTTTTGTTCCTTCAATTCAACTAATGATGCATCAATTCCAAAATCGGCTCAGCTTATGGAATACTCTGATGCTACATTGTAGTTCCTGCTTATTCTATGCTGTCATAGGTGAATTTGTTTTTCTTTTGCTGCAATAATATAATATATAATAGTCACAAATATTAGTTAAATCGGTTAAACTCACCTAAAACAGAATAAGCCACCGAATAAAATCGGAGTTTTCACCGAATAAATCACAGAAAAAACGATTAACTGACTTTTTCTGTTAAAACGGCTATCGGTTTTTCATTGATATTCACCGACAATAGATAAAGATAGTGAAATGAGACCTTAATTTTTAGGATGACGATGTATGTAAAGGGTACGTGAAAGGAAACCGAATGCTCTGTACGTTGGCACCACGCATTGTATGCATTCCGATTCCGCGAAAGAAACTCTCGTTGTGGAGTGTGGATTTGCGCTTACGCCTTTGCCGCCAAAATACAAGCTACAGAAGTTAGACGTTCGGGTTAGAAGTTAATGATAGCCGAAGCTACAACAAATGCAAAGCACTGAGCATGTGATTTCATTTTTGACGTGACAATGTCTACGGTACATATATCGATCTTTCGGAAGCCTTACTATAATAGAAATGTGATAGTTCATCTAGACACATGTATAGCGATAGGGTAAAGTCGTCATTGTGAAGCTACAATAAATGCACAGCGCTCAGCACATGATTTCATTTTGGCGTGGCAACCTGCACAGTAACACATATCGATCTTCCCAAAGTGTTACTATGACAAAACATGGCGGTTCATCTCGACACATGTATAGCGATAGCCGATAGGGCAAAGTCGTCATTGTAAAAGCTACAATAGATGCACAAATGCCGTTGAGCGCTTGATTTCATTTTGGCGTGGCAGTTTTCACATAAACGTATAACGATCTTCCGTAAGCGTTACTACAATAAAATGTGACGGTTCATATCGATACATGTATGGTGATATATCCGGAGAGGCAGAGAAAAGGCACAGATTAACCACAAAAAGGCTTGATGTGATGAAAAATACATGTCTCATGCACATCATCATAAACCCTTTTTTCCCATTTATCTCTTTTTGACACGAAACCTTCTCAAAAGAGTGATTTGATGGAGACGCGTTCAAGACGGCCTTAAACCGGTCGTGCCATTTGCCCCTATTGCCACCGACACCCACAGCCATCGGATCAGAATCCAACGCTCTAGAAAACTGGCGTCACCACAATCACAGTCGCAGCCGGTGGGCCAGGCGCAACCGAACCGAGCCGCACTCGCCTTCTGGTCGAGGGTCGAGCCTATAAACTCCAGAGGCCCCACACACAAGGCCCCAATCCCCCCCAACCCGAGAAGAAGAAACCGCGCGGCGCGGCGTCTGCTCGTCCCCCCAGCTCGCCTCGTCGCAGCCTTGCAGGCTTTCTCCCCTCCTCGTCCGATCGGCGAAGCAGATTCTAGCGAGGAATCGAGCGGCGCCACCGGACCCAAGAGCTCCATCCATATATAGGCGAGCACATGCAATTGCGAGCCTAGTTGCTGTTGGGGCTCTCTGCTTTCTGCCTCTGCCCCCGCGCGCGCGCACGCATTTGCCGCCTCTCTAATCCCCTCGGCCCGTCCAATGAAGTCCTCGCCGGCCGCGTCCTCGTCGCGGCCCAGGGACCCGCTCCTCTTCGGCAGCTTCGACCTCCCCGCCGGCTGGGGGTGCCGCAAGCCCATGGCCTTCTGCCGTGACCGGGACACGGACACGGACGACGCCCCCGTCGCGGCCGAGTCCAGCGCCGCCGCCGCCGCCACCGAGGGTGGCAAGGACAGCGAGCCCCGATCGCCGGCGCAAGCGGCCGCCACGGCGCAGCAGGCGCCCGTGGCGGGGGAGGAGGCCCAGCAGGAAGCTCCCCGGAGGCAGTGGAACCTGCGGGAGCGGACATCGTGGCGGGACTACAGAGCGGAGGACGCGCGGCAGGCCAGGAAGCTCGGGAGCACGGACGCCGGCGGCGGGAGCCGCGGGTTCTCGGTGGCGCTGACGCGGCAGGAGATCGACGCCGACTTCGTCGCGATCACCGGCCGCAAGGCGCGGCGCCGGCCCAGGAAGCGCACCAAGAGCGTCCAGCGCAAAATCGAGGTGCGTGCTCAGCAATGCCGATCTTGTCGATTGATTTCTTAGCCGCGATCGCAGAATCTTTCATCTGAGTTCCGTTCGTTCGTTCGTTAGTTGGTTGGTTACTAATCGTGCTTCCTCTTCTCCTCCTCTTGTGGCGCAGACGCTTTGGCCGGGAAGTTCGCTGACGGAGGTGACCCGCGACCGATACAAGGTAAACGAGGTACGCCTAAAAACCCCATCTTTAATTTCGCCGGAATCTGTTGTTTCGGAGGGAGGTTTGAGACACCGATTGATTCCACTCTTCTTCCTGACGGCGCAGAAAGGAGGATTCTGAGGCGCGCAAGCATAAAAGCAGGAGGATGAGATGGGTTTCCAACTGAGGAGCTTGATCGAGTAATGGCCGGCTCATCAGTGTTGCTAAGAATCAGTGTCGCTAAGAGGAGGTTTAGGGCTAACTGGTTCCTCTTGTGGGTAGTCATGCAGTTGATGATCGTATATGCCAAACCGGCAAACCCTAACACTATGGATGTTGGCTGGGTTCTTTCCTAAGTGAATGTGGATTGCTTACCGATTTCCATCAGATTTTTTTTTGTTTGTTCTGTTGCCAATCCTTGATGCCAGACTTGCAGGCGAAGAATGACGAACCTCTGATTTCTTTCGGCGAGAAATGCAGTTGCAGATTCTTCATCTTTCATCACTGTTTTTAAACGAAGCAGATAAAAAAACGCTGCCGATTATATTACTAATAAAGAACATTAATGATCACTTGGGAGCAGAGCCATGGAAGTGTCTGTTGTGCGAGATCAAGCCTGGAACTGACTGACGGACAGAGTAAAAGTGCTGCTGTGAGCTGACTGCATGGTGCCAGCAAAATCCTGATGCAGTGCAGAAAGCTTGTCTACCGCTAGACACTAAACATCACGAGAACAAGATACATCGGAAGGATTTAGTCGAGCACAATTCTAAGGAAGAGCCTGAATAATCCATATTTTTCTATAGGATCCAATAACGAGAACGAGTTTACATTACTTAATTCATTTCATACATTCAAAGTTCTTATAAATATATTATTACAGTACCAAATTTAGAATGCAAAAATTTAACAGCGAAATGAAAAGAAACATCTATCGATAATATATAAGGATCCGCCTGTACCTACCAGAAGAATCCTTCACACAACGGCTACTCCTCAGGCAGTACCTACAACAGGGGTAAATAAACCTTAAGTACACAATGTATACACAAGACTTATCCGACTAGTGGGAATAATTTCCCGACTCCAAGAAATATGATAAGCTTTATGGTTTGTTGGGTACTTTTTTTTGCAGAAAGCAATACTAATAGTGAATCCTTATTCATGTTATTAGCAGTCATGATTAATTTATTATCTAACCATTCTATGTAAGCACATATTCTACTTTCAAGCAAAAGTTGAGCAAACAGTTCTATTTCACCACCTTTCATCTTTCAGTTCTTACTACGGTGTTAGACTGTAGACAAGCCGTACCGGAACGTCGGCGATTCGCAAATCAATGTGTCCAGTTAGGTCCCCGAAACATACGTCCAGCTTGTATCCCAGGCACAAGCAGAACCAACCCATCACCCTCCTGTCATGGGGTCTAGGTCCCCGTCCAAACTTGGACTCCAAGCCCCCGCTCCTGAGTCCCAGACTCGGTGCGGTGCTTAGACCTCCATCATCCCCGCCTCCAATCAGTCGGTCCGGAAAGAGCCAAAACTCACGACAAGAGAGCAACAAGTTTTCCCTGCGCCCATACCCAAGTATGTGCTCGGAATAATAAGTCCGTGACATGCCTAGAACCCAATGCAACGGCCGGTCCTTAATCGACACAGACAGAAAAAAGTGTAACCAAGCTATGCCCTGTAGGCCGCAGGGCACAACCACTTACACCCATTAATATCTAAACCATATTCCTACCCGGTCTCCATTTTCCTTTCCACCATTTTATCATGAGTGATCATAATAATTACCTATTGTGAGTAACGACAGGTTACTCACGCTACCCAAATTCTGAGCATAGCAGCTACTCGACATATACTAGTATGACTCATAGGTAAGTTTATCTATGCATGTAGTTTTCATAAAATGCATATAACGTAAATGTCTTGGGCATGCGGGGTGTCAACAAAGTCAGTAATTAATGGCTTCAGGGCTCCCTCTTGTACGAGAATCTCCTCCTCGTACTCCTCAATGATCTCCTCTAGTCCTGTTCGTCTGCAGGCACGAACTCTACCAACTCGTTATCTACATACATAAATTGATGATGCAACACTTAATAATACGGCAATAACAACTCTTAAAAAAATACATCTGTCAAGCTACTAAACTAGCTCTA